TTATTTAATTAGAACTACTTCCCTTACCATACTCACTCAGTGCTAGCCTTCGTTCTTGTGGAGTATTTATTCATATAAAGGGGTTTCATATCAAGTTCATAACCTAATCACATTTACCCTACCAAAGAAAGGTCCACCAAGGCTACCTCACAATGGAAACAAGAAGCTCATCATGACTTTACTAAGGATTAATATGATGCCATTGGTATGGTCCTTACTTAACTCATATTACATGTCATTCTATAAACACATAGAAATAGCCATTATCATCTTTAATTCATCTTATACACTACCTTATAATCATCAATTTGACCAAAATAGACTCATATAGTCAATTAGGAATAACCAATCATCAACCGTAAGACTATACACACAAAGCCATAGTCATAGGCTAACATGATCACCTACTTCACATCGATAGAAGAAACCACATATAGTTTCACATTACTTCACATGTAGGTAGATATTGTCATACTTCACTTAATCAATTAAAGAAATAACCACATTACTTCAAAAATTTGCCGACAAGGCAATGATAATCATATTACTTAAAATAACGCCAAAAATGCCATATCAATTGCAAGTAAAACACATAACATCGCCACCATAAGTGGACCATACCAATCACAACATAAGTGGAGCCTAATCAACATAAAATAACTTAAATAGGGCAATGTACCACCACTCCATCTTCAATGCCTCAATCCAATGCCAAATCACCCAATTCGATATCACAAGACCCTTATCAATGGTCATAACCAACAATTCAATATAATTATAACAATATTCATGAAACTAGGTCAATTTACTACATATTAATCAATATAATGCAACCTAGATAGCAGTTTACTATAATTATTACATCAATCAACAGCCCATATGAAACTACATTAGAATTCATAAAAATTAGATCATTATCAAGTAACCCATAACTTAGTCAAAAACTAGGGTTCATCCAATTCATGGGTTCATAGCTAATTAAGTTTAAAATCACCTAATTAATAACAATTCAATCTGTATTCAATGCTTAAAAAATTAATGCAAGAACCCATGGTAGATCATGAAATTGGACAATTCAACTTTGAAAACTTTAGAAAACATCTTTGAATGTTGGGCTACATGAGAAGAGAGTTTCAAGAATAAAAAATAATAACTCAATGAATCTAATTCTTCAATTTGATGAAGAATTTCCACTCGATTCTCCAATCCAAGCCCTTCCTTGAGTTTTGGTTCCAATGGAGTTCTTGGGAATTTTTAAGGGATTTTGGGGTTTTGATTTGGAAAAATGAAAACTTCTAAGTGTTAAAGACTTATATACATGTTTAAAATACCAAAAAGTCCCCTTATGAACCACCAATATTATTTTTTGGAAGTAGGGTGAATTTACAAGTTCACCCCTCAGTTAATAGTGAATTGCACATAGGACACCGACCCATTGACGGTTGGTAGTCGATGAACCGTTTGTCCACAAATGGACCGTATTTTCCTTCCGTCGATTGGTTCTGAGACTCAACTTTGGTAAATCCTCTCCATATCATATTTCTTAATCGATGAGACCCTACCAACTGGGTGTCGATTGTTTCTGTCTTGGGCAGCCTTGGACATCAATTTGGGTCCTTCCTCAAGGAATGTTTACCCGGAATTTCCAACCCATACATACTCGTACATGAGTTTATAACCTCTCACATGAATTTCATCCAAAACGAACACGTTATACTTGATGAAACATTCCTAGACACACTAGATCATTTCAAGGCAAACCTTTTGAACGTCATGGACATTCTTGGACGTTTGACCTCCAAAATTATGGAAACTTGACACACTGCCTATATACTCTACAATAACTCATTTAAGGACCTTATAACCTCATGAATCACACATAAACATAGAGAATCACATATGAGGCACATAGGTGACGTAGTCGTCAAACGTCTTGGTTGTTACTTGACGTTTGACTTCCAATGCACCTAAACTCTTAGACATTGCCTCAATGCCATATTTTAGACAACTTTAGGACCTTATACCAACATATTAGTGTCTACTCCACCTAATTCAATTTTTGAGATCTTACAACTTTGCATATAAAACACTAGGAAATAATTTCTATTACTAGGAATACGGCGTTATGAAAACGTGGGGAATACATATACCATAGTTACTCTCTCATTTTTATAAAACCAACATTTAATTTTGTCTACTTTATAAATACACTATTTAAAGAATTTTCGTTTCACAAAACCTCCCTTTACTTACTCGTTTACGAACGATATTGACTAAATAGATAATCGTGAACTAAAGTTAAGTCTAAATCATTTTCCTCGTGAGATAAAACCGAACCTACTAGTTGGGTTCTCTACTTGTTAACGATCGCTTATTATTCTTTAGGGAGGTCTAATTTGAGCTTATCAGCTAAGCCCCAATTTTCATACTCTTATGTCTAGATGGAAATGAGAGACATGTTTAGTTTCTATTATGATATATAATGTGAAGTTGAACTTCAGCCGAAAAGTTTTAAAATTTCTGCTTGTATTATTTCTATTATGCAATGATGAATTCTAAGGGATTGTCTAAGACCTCTTCGAGGTCAACGACGTCGGTAACGAATAAGGGGTACTCTCGAGTGAGGACAGAAAGGCATAATGATCACTGTAACACAAGATTCTATTGCGAAAGGGGTTCTGTGCTGCATGGGTTAGAGGAGAAGGAGTCTTCCTTCTATGCTCTTATGGTAGAGTTCGGGTGAGTCCTACTGACTGAGTATTTTCAATATGTATGCTCCACTTGGGAGAGGGAATTTTATACCATCCGCTGGTGCAATGCTAGTCTCATCATCCGATTTGGAGGTTAACATATCTTTGAATGGCACTACTATTAATAAGACCCCATAGGTACCAGAGGTCCCGAACCATGAATATCAGTCCAGGATATGGAAGATGGATTTGGAATGGATAAGAGACACTCTTGTTGAGCCTACGTGCCGGGATCAGGCTCACTGGGATATTGCAGAGTGTATTACTTATAGAAATTGGTCATATGATATTAAGAGGTGGCTGGATTTGGTGACTATGAGGATTCGCCCGTCGGACAATGGCTGTCGGACAATGGCACCGATGTGACATGTCTCTTGGATTTGGTGCTCACATGTGCCATACAAGGTATATATTTGAAAGTGGAGCCGCAAATCATCATGTGATTGAATATGTTTTATTGGAATAACAAGAATGTGTTCTTTCTCTCTGTTCTTACAACTGCCTTGTGCAAGGAGGCGGGCATGCCACTTTTCGATGCCAATGAGGTACTTCCTATGGATCCCCCACTTCACCCTCTTTTGATTAGATAGATCTCTACTTCTAGGAACAAGAGAAAGAGGATGGGAAGGGCTAGCAGCACTAAGGCATTTGTGGATTTCGATAGTGAGGACCCACTCTCAGGTGCACAGGTTGAGGAGGATCTGCAGGATGTTCCGAAGAAGATGGGGAGTGCCTATGCGGACTTCACCTCAGTTCCACCTAGCACTGCCCTAGAGGATAAGATGCTTCGTTGCCAGCTTTTCCAATAGAGGAAAAGAACCTAGCTAGAGACAATCTAATGATGATTCATCTCTGGAAGGCAGTAAAATTGATGTTTACCTGTATCTCTCTCAGCAAGAATATGATCATAGAGGAGAAGGATGATTATGTTCAGTTTTCATAACTAAAGGAGGAATTGACCGGCCTGGTTCCCCCAGAGGAGTTAGACTTGTAAACTGACACCTCTAGTTCACGGGTTCCTGAATTGATTTTTTCTCCCTTCTTGGGCTTGTACATTTTTATGACACTCCGTTTTACCTTATGATTTCCTATGTTATTTGTAAGAATGTGAATGCTAGTTTTTTATGTCTGAGGCAACCTTATTTAACCTTAAGTTGTTATGATCCATTACTTATGTTGATGAACACTATTATATCGAGTAGGGGTGAGTTTGAATACCATTTTGGGTCCTAAATTGCTATAAGGAAAAATAGGGGAGACATGTTGAGGTCTTCCTCGCCCCAGCGGCCCATTACGAGGCACAACCTCTGCTAAGGGTTTTTTCAGGGGGATTTGTGCTTTTTTAGAATTTCCCAAAGGTTCTCAATTTTACTCTAAAATTTAGAACATTTCCCATAACTAGGCTAATCATTGCCTACCCTCCGGTCAATCCCATGATACACGAACCAGTTTGTTCCCATTACTTCAGCATCACACCCCACAGTTCCCCAAGATACACCAAAACACTCACACTGCTATTAGCCAAGCACAAGACATGTTTCAGCTCTTCCTCACCATTATCCTCGTGGCTTTATTTAAATCTCTCATCAATTTCTAGTCAGGACATTCTTTTCACAACGAGTTCCGTGATACACGAGCATTTACAACTTGCATAATTTAAGCCGTTCGGCCAACATATTGCACGTATTAAGGTTTAGCCACATACTTATAATACATATAATCACATTTAACAAGTTTGACTTAACATTTGTAGTTTATTTAACAAACAAGGAGAACATATCCACAGATTCCAAGACCCAATGCACAGACAAATTCAATTTATTACACTACAAAAAATCATCATTTAGCGACTAACGAAATCCGTCGCTAATCTATATTATTCCGTCGCTAAACTAGATTTGCGAAGGATTTGCGACGAATTACTTATTTTTTCTATATCGCTCGTTACTAATCTCGTAGCTACGAAAAATAATTTCTGTCGAAAAATTTAGCGATGTATTAAAGACGAATGATTTCCATCGCCACTTGTTAGAGACGTACTAGTCCGTTGTTATACTTATATAGCTTGCTGCTAATTTCATAATTGATTTCGTCATTTAAAATAAAATTTGCGATGAAAATTCTGTCACTGATCCATCAAAAATTATTCTGTTATTTGAGCCAACACAATTTTTTTTTGTAAATTATTTCATTTATTTATTTTAAATACACACTACTGAAATAAATTAAATAAAAATTACTAATTACCTCTAAAATAATAAAAATTCATATAAATTAATATTTAGAGGTTTTCAAATATTCTACAGATGATAAGGACAAAGATCCTGCCCATAGTAAACTTAAGTTAAGATCCAAGGCCCTATATTCTTCTCTTCCTTTCTCGCCAGGTATCTTGGTAGTATGTTTCACATTGATCAATATAAGATTGAGAGGTTGTTCTTTCTCGTAACCTTTTCTTCTAATTTTTCTGTAATAAATTGAGATAAAGAGAAAATATTAAAGATTAGAAATAAAGTTATAATGGAAGGAAAATACAGAAACAAGCTTAACTTTTTAGCTTAATTAAATGTTCTAATAACTTTTTAGCCAACTTATAGTACATTTAAACTTATAGGTGATGGTGCAGAAAAACCATCTCAATCTAAAAAAAAGTGGCTCAATAAATTTAAAATAAAGAAAACTACTAAAGTGTATAGCATGGAGTATTTTCCTAGATAAACCCGAAAGATGAATATTTACCACGAAATATTATCAATTTTTATTGTCAAATAAATTTTCGTCAACCCTACAAAATAAATAAGACATCTAGAATTGAAGACCAGAATTATTGACAGCAATTATTCAGTTATTCACATGCAAATTCATTGCAACAAGTGTAAACTAAAAGCAAGTTAAAAATAAAGGCAAGGACATATCAAATAGAATCATTCCATCTCCTATTCCAGTATCTCCTCTTATTCTTACCGACATTGGCACACATTGATGGGTGGATGCATCGCCGGAGATGGTGGATAGAGAAGAGACGAGGATGAAGAGAAAAAGGGTGGGGTGCGGCGGATCTAGAGAGAGAGAAAATGAGGAATTTAGGTTTGAGTCTTTTGGTAGATTAAAATAGGGAAAACTCTAGAGAATAAGATCTTGACCGTTGGATTATTTTTAAAGGAGAGGCTAAGATTTAAAGGATGATATCAACGGTCGTGATTAAAAGATGAGGGTTTGGTTAAAATCTGAAATTGGATTGAGATGATTCTAGAATCCATCAATTTCAAATAAATAATTAAATATATATATATATATATATATATATATATATATATATATATTGTCGAATATTTTTGTCACTATATAATATAATTTTTATAAAAATATATTTATTAGTTTAGTGACCTTTTTTCCGTCGCTAATTTTGTTGCCCAATATTAATTAAATATGTCACCACTACTTTGTTATTAAATCCATTGGCAAAATGAACCGCCATATTTTCACGCTATTATTTAGCGATGGATGAAATATTCGTTGATAAGTTGTTGCTATATTATAAATCAAAAAGTCATTTGTTAATTTGCAACAAAATTATTATTCCATTGTTATAGAGAGATGGAATATTGTTCGTCACAAGAATCCATCGGTAAATACTATTTTTTTAGTAGTGTTAGTTAGTTTGTTCCATAGACGACCATTAATCTATGCCTTTTTGAGTCCCTAAGGATAGAAACCAATTGGAACCTTCCTATTTCGAATTAACTTGTTGGTGCCCCTTCAGCAGTCTCAACAACATCTAATTCACTTAATTGAGATATTGATTGGCCTCAACTCTTACCACAAGCAACACTTCACAGGAAGAGATCAAATGAGTGGAACAATTTCCTAGAATGTCTCCTATCATCTTGTGGATTAGATGTAGACTTCAACACATGATCTGCAAGAATCTAGTCCACATTTTTCTCTTATATTATGAGATTGGTAACCTAGGCTCTGATACCAATTTATTCGGATCCAACCCATTGGGTCGTGCGGGCAAATACATTCTACCATCTAATTATTGGAACCCTCATATCCCAACAATTTGAATCATGTAGAAATTAAATAATTGGAAATAGATATAATAACATAATTATTAATTAAAAAGCCTTTAAAATGATTTCAAGTTAAAAAATTTGAAGTAATTAACATCGCAAAAAATCTAGTCTAATCAGGGACAAGATTTACTAAGAGTTCAAGTAGACAAGATAACAAAAGACACACCTCCCACATGCGGAAGGAAGAATAGAAGTTGCTGGACAATTTTTTCATCTTCACCTAATGAAACATTGTCAACCTACATCCAAACAATGTCAAAATATATAGCAAGAGTCGTATTAGTATAAACACACATACTAGTTGGCATCATTGCTCAACCTGATGCCCACCACATAACAAACTTCCATACCACTAAACCCAATATCATTCCCCAAGGTGAAACCCACCTAAGCATACTTCATCACATACACTACCTCTACTTCTCTTTCTCAGTTACAACACACTAACAACCCTTGCTATCCATTACTCGTCCCTTTAACCCTTTTCCCTTCCACTATACCCCACAAGTTCGCTTAATACAAGGAGAATAAAATATAAATTGTCATAAGATATACCCACTACGTGCAATACATATAAGTCAACACAAACACATCATCACAAGCATATATAGAACATATACAATTACATCGACATAAAGAACAATAACATATTTCACATTCCTCAAGCTACACAATTATACCAAGTAGTTCTTCGTCTCATGGAACCCAAACCCAAACTATTATCATACAAGAACGTGGTGCCCGATCCCATAGTTATAAAAGAACATGTCGATCTGATCATATCTTTTATGCTAGAACATGGCAATTCGATCCCATATTTTATTCCAGAACATGGCAATCCGATCCCAATTAGATATGTTGGAATGTGGCAATCCTATCCCAGTTAGTTATCCTAGTGACAGTTTGAACCCAGTTAGTTATGTCGCATGTGACTATCGGATTGCAAGTTAGTTATTTCGGAATATGGCAATCTAATCCACAAGCACACAACAATCACAAACACAAGTATACTCTCAAGTCATACAATCAAGAAGTGATTTATGGCATATATTCATTCGTGTGTCACATTTACAACAACTATGATCAGTAATGCAACATTCGTATACATACAAGTATTATAATAAAGAAGAACATACATATATCATACAATTATAGAATCACAACCATCACCTTAAATAGATTACTCATTACGCAGATCATGCGAACCCTATATCGACCATACTTAGCCCTAACTCATCTCCTAAGGCTTCTTTCTAAGGTTTCAATCATAGATCATTTGGTGCACGAAGGCCTATGTTTAGTCCTACCATCGATTTACGTATATTACGCAGTGAGTACAAATTTAAATACTGAATTCATAAAACCTAGACTGCATGGGCGCCAAGCCGTTTTAGGAGTTTTAGAATTTGTTTTTGGTTTTCCAATCTCACGAGGTGAATTTGGCCAAGAATCCGTAAGATTTCTCCATCCTCACCAATTTTCAACATGTTAAGGTGGAACATCATAAACCAGAAGGCATGACTCAAAAGATTAACATTCCTACAAGGAAGTGGGAAGTGATAAACATGGACTTCATTACGATTTTACCTCATACTCGCAGACAACATGACTTCATTTGGGTAATTGTGGTGAGATTTACTAAGTCCGCACATTTCTTTTTTGTCAATACTACTAACCATTGAAGGATTACGATAAACTCTACATCTATGAGATAGTCAGGTTGCAAGGGGTTCCCTTGTATATCATCTCAGATAGAGGTCATCAATTCACCTCTCATTTTTGGAAATTGATTCAGAAAAGGTCTTGGTACTCAGATAAATCTTTGTACAACATTTCATCGACAGATGGATAGTCAGGCAGAACATACCATTCAAACCTTAGAGGAAATATTCAAAGCTTGCATTATGGATTTCAAGGACGGTAGCGATGATCACCTGCCTATCATAGAGCTTTCCTATAATGATAGCTTTCATTACAGTATTTAGGTGGCCCCATATGAGGCACTATATGGGCGTAGATATACGTCCTCTCTCAGTTTGTTTGATGTAGGTGAATCAACATTGATTGGGCCAGATTTGGTTCATGAGGCTATGGAAAATTTTAACTGATCACAGATAGATTAAAGATAACACAGAGTCTTCCTATGAAGATGTGAAAAGATGGGACTTAGAGTTTGAAATCAATGATTGGGTTTTCCTGAAGGTGTCACCCATGAAGGGGGTCATTAGATTTCACGATACAGGGAAGCTCAACCGTAGATATGCATGTCCATATCAAATCATGAAAAAGGGTTGCTAATGTGTCTTAAGATTTAGAATTGACATCATCCAAGCTTTCACGTTTCCTTGTTGAATACGTGTGTGGGTGATTCGTCATCAATAGTAACATTAGAGAGTGTGGTTGTGAAATATATCACCTATGAAAAAGTGTCAATTGAAATTCTTGATCGTCTAGTTCGTAGGTTGAGAAATAAGAAAGTAACTTTAGTAAAGGTTTTGTGGACGATTCAGATGGAGCTACTTGGGAAGTAGAAGCATTCATGATGGAAAAGTAGCCTAATCTATTTCCTTCTTATTCAGCTTCATCTTCAACTAATAGTTTCTTTACAGTATCCTAGTTTACTCCTATGTAAATTCAGTCTAAGTATCTTGTTCATTTAGTTGTTCTTGCATTTGAACATAATAGCATGTTCTTGGAACTCAATTTTTGTAGATATTAGTTCTAGCACTTAGTGGTAGGTATTATAGATCCTCTCCTCCATACTCATATTTTTTAGAGTTCATTTGAGGGTTAATGTTTCCAAGGGGGAGCTATTCTAACACCTCAAATTTGAGACAATACAAAAATATCGCGTTCCATGAACTAGTGCAAGAACCATGGAAGCCACTAACAGTTCGTGGTCTGACACACGGTCCATAATTGGGGTCCATCATTGATAACCAAATGTTTATGGTCTCTGAACCCACTTACGATCGACCATGATGGTTCATGGTTGGACCTATGGACTATAGGTGAAGGTCAGTAATCAATTGGAAGGAAATGGTTGTTGAGTCAACTTCAAATAGTCATATCTTTTAGAACAAAATTGAATTAGGTAACCTATGACATATCAAATGAAAGATAATTGAATCCTATTTCTAATGCCACTAAGTTTATTAAAATCCCATAAGTCCCATCTCTGAGTAAAAATTTATGCTTGTTTTAGTGAAGCCTTGTTGGGATAATCTTGACCAACAACGCCTACCTAAGGTAGGTAGGTTAAATGACGGTCTGTAGGTCCCTTCGTGGATGGACTTCATGAGATTTTAAGTTAAGATCATTAGGTCTATTGCCTATGTGTGGGGTCTCTTAATCTACGTCGGATAATGCCTAAACTACGTCGCATAATGCCTCAAATACGTCGTTTTACTCGGTCTAAGCCTACTAACTTAGTCAGACTAAACCAGAACCCTCATTCACCAAAAATCATCAAAACATGGAGGAAAAAAGTGAGAAAGTCTAGCAAACCTCCCAAAACAAGCAAAAGTGTTCTTCAAAGTTTTAGTCCTAAAATCAAAGAACTTCTTTGTAGATAGCATCACCAGATATGTGGGATTTAACTAGTGGGTTCCTTTCTTCATCTATATCCCTTTAATTTAGTAGGTTCCTTGATTCTTCATAGACTGTTTAGTCCTAGGGTTTATAAAATCTTGGAAATTATTATGATTTAGTTGCTATAAAATACATAATATAATTTTTCTTAAGTCCTTCTATGAAACTTAGAACCCTATTTTTTGTAGATTCTTCTTGTTCATAAATAATGAATTCTCAATCAGCATGTCACTTTTCATGACCCAAAAGTACCCCCAGAATAAGGGAGCACCCTTAAGTTGGACAATTGTGTACTTGTCTTTTTCGGAGGTCTTGTACTAGCCATTTGCGTTCATTCATTACATAAGACATGAAAAGTAGTTTGGAATTAAAACTTTTCA